GCAAATTTATACTCGTTTTTTTTTTATGATATACTTGTATATAGCGCTACATGGGACGGACACCTAGTACATCTACAAATCACCTTGGAACTACTAAGGACTCATAAACTCTTTGCAAAGGAGTCAAAGTGCGCATTTGGACAGACGCAAGTACACTACTTAGGGCACGTAGTCGAAAACGACATTGTAGTAGCAGACCCAGAAAAGATCTCAAGCATGATAAATTGGCCCCGACCTCAAAATGTTAAGGAGTTACGAGGCTTCTTGGGTCTAATAGGGTACTACCGGCGATTCATCAGAGGGTATGGACTGATTGCTGCCCCCTTGACAAGTTTACTTAAGAAGAATGGTTTCTGCTGGACTAGGGAGGCCCAATAGGCCTTCGAGACACTCAAAACAACTGTCTCGTCCGCACCGACGCTCGCACTTCCAGACTTCTCAAAGGACTTCATCATTGAATGTGATGCGTCAAGCCAAGGAGTTGGTGCGGTCCTCATGCAAGAAGAAAGGTCACTAGCGTTTTTCAGCAAAGCAATGACAACACAGAAATGGGCCAAGTTAGTATACGAACACGAACTGATAGCAATTGTTCTCGCAGTTCAGAGGTGGTGGCCCTACCTTCTAGGGAGGAGGTTCATCATACGAACTGACTACCATAGCCTAAAATTTCTGTTGGAGCAGTCCGTACTATCCCCGGAACAACAGCGATGGATAGCCAAATTACTCGGCTACGATTATGTCATTAAATACAAGGCAAAGCACACTAACAAGGTGGCGGATGCACTGTCACGCCAACCACAACTATTTCCATTACTTCTCACGGGCCCAACATGTTCCATCATGAGTCAGTTAAGGGAAGAAGTTGAAAGACACCCATAACTGAGCAAAAGGCATTCATAGGTCCAAGAGGACCCTACTAGCCACCCAGGGTACACAGTGGAGAATAACTTGCTGCTGTATAAACGCCGAATGGTGATACCACAGGATTCAGTCCATATTCAACAGCTTCTGGAAGTGTTCCACTCATCACCAACAGGAGGACACTCAAGGATTCTGCGCACTTACAAGAGACTAGCCACCCAATTCCACTAGAAAGGCATGCGAAATTCGGTCCAAAAATTCATAACCGAATGCGTCATTTGCCAGAAAAATAAGGCTGATACCCAGTCTCCAACAGGACTGCTACAACCACTCCCAATTCCTACACAAGTGTGGGCGGATATATCCATGGACTTCATAACGGGGCTTCCCCTTTCCTATGGCAAGTCCATCATTCTCGTAGTGGTTGATAGATTCACCAAATATTGCCATTTTCTCCCTCTTTCCCACCCCTTTACAGTTTCAATGGTGGCTGAGATTTTTACTAAGGAGGTGGCACGACTGCGTGGTACCCCTAACTCTATTGTCTCAGACCATGACCCAATTTTTATGAGTCGTTTCTGGGCAGAACTTTTTCGACTATAGGGAGTGAAATTCTTCAAATCTACCAGCTACCACCCTCAAACAGATGGGCAAACTGAGGTGGTCAACCAGAGTTTGGAAACCTATCTAAGGTGCTATGCAGGGGATAGGCCACGCCAGTGGCTCAAGTGGCTTCATTGGGCGGAATGGTGGTACAATACCACGTATCACAGTGTAGCAGGAATGACTCTCTTCCGGGTTCTATATGGATGAGACCCACCTCCCCTACTCCCATATGAGAAAGGGTCTACAGCAGTAGCAGCAGTGGAAGACCAACTCCTCCAATGAGATAGGGTGTTACAAGATCTCAAATCCCACCTCCATCGAGCCCAACAATGGATGGCAGACTCCTACAACAGAAAGCATAGGCTTGTCCAGCACCAGATTGGGGAGCAAGGCTTCCTTAAATTACAACCATACAAGCATGTTTCAGTAGCAGGCCACAGGTGGAACAAACTGAGCCCAAGGTACTTCGGCCCATTTCGAATTGTGGAACGCATTGGGTCTGTGGCGTATAGGCTTGACCTTCTAGCAACATCAAAATTGCACCCTGTATTCCATGTATTTCTATTAAAGAAATGGCCAAAAACATGAGCAATAACAACAACCACCCTCCCATCATTCTCGGAAGATGGCCAAGTTCAAACTGAGCCCACCCAGATAACAGATTTCAGGTCTCCCACTTGAGGATGCAACTTGGGAACCTTACTTGGACTTACAGAATAGATTTCCACATCTTGACCTTGAGGGCAAGGTCGCTTTCAAGGGAGGAGGGACTGTTGAGACACAAATAAAGGGAATACAAGTGTACAAGAAAAGGCCACGCCGGCCTTTAAGTAATGTAACTGACAACCAACCACTAGAACAAACTAAATAACAAACTGGACAAGTGGAGAGGCTGATATAACAAAATTGTAACAGAAGTGTATAAATAAGGAAAGGAAGCCAGGAGAGGAATTATTGATTTTGGGAATACAATCTCTCTCTCACTCTCTCTCTCTCTTTCTTCTTTTTCTCTCTCTCGTTCAGGAGGCAGGCTTCCTCGAAAAAGTCCCTGAGTTAGGCAGTTCCTAACACAACTGAATTGACGTGAGATTTGAAGGAATTTATCAAGTTCATCCCTGATGATTTACGATGATTTACTCCAGAAAAGGTGATACCCATTGAATCAAACCTCATTTCATGTAAGGAAGGTAAAAGTAACTAAGGCTTTGAAATGTCTATTCCTCAGTAGCTTCATGTAATTTCATGAAATGTTAGATTCAATTGATTGTGTTTTAGTTCCAATTTGGTTTTGGATTAAATCCTAATATCCTATCATGATATGAAATAAATTGCTGTAGTATGAGGATAATGAACTTCAAGTAGATCATCATACCTTTCTTAAGATTTCCATAAAATAGAGAAAAAAAGAAAAAAATATAAGATTGGTGTGCATTTTAATCGGTGATTGAAGTCAGAATTGGACAAATCAAACACATGCATTGTGCCCGTGGAAGATTTGGAACATTTAGATCATCTGAGTTTTAGACTAAAATGCGTCCAAGATGTGAACCATCTTTTTCTAGTTTCTAGCTTGCTTGACTTATGCAGAATTCGTTTATGATGGCTTGTGCATGGAGTTGAATACATGTTGAACTTAGCTATTGTTGGCAGAAGCCAATATGTGGTTCCCAACATAGTGAATTTAGAAAAACTAAAATTGACTTTGCAATTTTAATATGTTGGCAAATGTTAATGCAACCCATGTTGGAGATGCCCTAGGAAGATGGAGTGTCCTTGTACTCTTGTTTTGTCTTAATAACTTGAATAAGTCTTGGTTTGTATTTTCTGGCTTAAAGTTATTGTAATTTTCATTGGTATGTATGAGCTAAAAACTAATATTTTTTTCATACTTTTTGTGGAAAAGAAGGGATCAAAGCTGTTCACCAGAAGAGAAGAAAGTTGAGTTCTATAAATGAATTCCAATGCAAAAACAGAGTTGTATAGTTATTCTTACATAATATACAGATTCCTTGTAGTATATTTTCTCAAAAAAGACCCCTTAGATTTTGTAGTGTAGTCATGTCAAACGGCTCAGAATAAAGCTGATGTGCACCATATGAGAGTTCATGAGACACTTGATCCATGTTAGGCCGTGAATTGGGGTTTGCACGTGTGCAGGCCAAAGCAAGGATCACCACTGAAAGTATTTGTTGCAAAGTGAGACCACTTGGAGCTTGAAGTTTCTGGTCTAACACACTTGTGATTGTGAAATTCAGGTCTTGTTGCATGCATGAAAGGAGTTCTCCGGGGTGCTTTCCCATGATTACTTCCAATGCAATAACTCCAAAGCTGTACACATCACATTTCTTTGTAACTTTCATTGTAGAGGCAAGCTCTGCAAGATCCAACACAGATATGAATAAAGAAAACTTTAGAAAAGCTACTTGTTATTTGTTTTTATCATTTTTGTTGAATGGAAATTGAATAAACTTAACCTTCTATTATTTATGGGAACTTTGCCCATCCATGTTAGAAATCAAGATCAAAGTCAAATATTAAAGTCAAATATTGCCTTTTGAAGTTTTAAAGGGGACTGATTTGAATGAACCTGCTTTTTGTACAAACCAGACACATCCCCAGTGGCAACTGACAACACAAAGACTTGTTCATAATGATGATAATTAATACATGGGGTACTTTGTCTTTTAAAAGATGTACTTTTTGACTAATAATCATGGGTGAGGACCCTATTTAAAAAGAGACATGACCAAATTACCCCATTATTGAATCATTTTGCAATAAGGAAAGTATTTGAAAACTCAACCTCATTTGTTGAAACTTATGCATCCTATAAAAAGTTAGCATTTTAACATTTTGGTTTCTGAAATGGATGTTGATTTCAGAATGGTTATGCATGTGGTGTGGTGTTGTCTAACTTGGCTAAATAAAAAGGGACATCTATGAATCATTTATCTAGATTCTAAAACAAATATGAAATTGAAAAACCAAAATGCATAATGGTAGAACAGTTAGAAATTAACTGAAAAAGTTTACCTGGAGCCATGTAGCCATAAGAACCAACTGGTTCCGTCCAATTGGACTGATCTTCTCGTAGAAACCTTGCTGTCCCAAAGTCAGATATCTTTGGTTCGAACTCTGAGTCCAATAAAATATTATCCCCTGATATGTCCCGATGCACTATGGGTGGTGAACAGTCATGGTGCAAGTAAGACAAGGCATGTGCAACCCCTCTAATAATCTTCAACCTTGTATTCCAGTCTAGCATCCTTGCCTCTTTCTCATCATAAAGTAAACATTTTAAGCTACCTTTCTCTACATACTCATATACCAAAAACATGAACCCCTTGCTTGAGCAGAATCCATACATCTTTACAATATTTCGATGTCGTATTTCAGTCAGAGCGTGTACTTCATATTCAAAGTTCTTCACCAACTCTTCCCCTGGCAACCCATTCTCAATGGATGATGGCATGTGAAGACGCTTTACCGCAAAGACGTCACCTGTATGAAGTATTGCTTTGTAGACACTTCCTTGTCCACCCTTCCCTATGCAATAAGCCTCACTGAAGTTTTCTGTAGCAGTGATGATATCCTTGAACACTAATTTCCCATTATAGTTCCATACTGAGAATGAGCTGTCACCTGCTGAATACGAATCATGCTTTTCTTCATCTAGATTTCTGGAAGTACGGTGGCAAATGAAGATCCAAAACAAAATTGATAGAACTATGGCAGTAACAATGGGGACACTTGCAGCAATGACCAGCTTCCATCTGTTGCTTTTGTTGCCGCTTGCAGACAGAGTATTGCTATCACAAGAGCGCAAACCTTGCACTATGTTGCTGCATAGACCCGGATTTCCTTCCAATGCCTGGAGAGGAGCTTGCTCAAATGCCTTTATTTCTGGAAGTGGACCTTCAAGGTTGTTATATGATATATCTACTGATTGAAGGCTTATCAGACCTTGCAGTGAAGGTAGCAAACCAGAGAGGCTATTGTGAGAAAGATTCAAATTTTCTAATGATTTTAGATTTCCGAGCTGTGGTGATATCTCCCCCATGAGTGAATTTTGACTAAGGTCTAGGATAGACTGCAATGCCACTAGGTTTCCAAGCTGGAGAGGAATTGTCCCATTTAATTTGTTGTCATTGAGCTTCAAGGATATTAATTCTTCACAGTCTCCAAGCTCCTCTGGTATTGGCCCACTTAGATTATTCCCTGACAAATCCAGGGTTTGTAGTTGTGATAGTTGTCCAATCTCTGCAGGTATATGGCCTGAAAGCTGATTGTTGCTCAGATTTAGTTCATATATACGTGAAGATGAAGTGATAATCTCCAGTGGAATATTTCCTGTTAGTTGATTTGAAGAAAGACTGAGCTCTTTTAGATTTTTCAACTTTCCAATCTCCTTTGGAATTTGGCCTGATAGCATATTGCCAGAAACTCGAAAAAATGAGAGGCTCACACACTCTCCCCAACTTCGTGATAATACACCAGATAGTTGATTATTGCCCAAATCAATGTATTCAAGAGCTGGGTATACCCCAAATGCATTAGATATATCTCCATCAAGAAGGTTTTGCTCAAGACGGACTCTGGTTAAACCTGGACAATTTTTAAGGCTTTGGGGAATTGGTCCCACAAATCTGTTTCCATCTGCTGACAAGTATATAAGATGTCCTCCACAAATTTGGGGAGGGAGATTTCCTGAGAAGAAGTTGTGTGAAAAACTTGCATTTTTGAGAGAACTGGGGCCAAAATCTTCAGGTATGCTACCAGAGAAGTTGTTATTTGGAACATAGAAGAGAGTCAAAATTTTCAGGTGGGTTATTGATGAAGGCAAGGTGCCTTGCAGCTTGTTTCTACTGAAGTCAAGAAATTCTAGGCCTTCCATGTTACCTATTTCATGGGGAAAAATTCCAGTGAGTTGGTTATTGGAGAGATTTATATTAACAAGCCTAGTCAAGTTTCCTATGCTTGAAGGAATTGAACCAGTAATGAGGTTGTCAGCCAAATCAAGGTAAATCAAATTCAACAAGTTGCCTATATCCAATGGTATGGAACCTGATAATTGGTTCTGAAATAGGAATAAGTAGTTTAGCTTGCGAAGTAACCCAATTTCAGGAGGGATTGTTCCTGTTAGACTGTTGACATGGAGTTGCAATGAAATAAGTTCTGTCCAATTGGATAGGAAATATGGATGGATTTCACCAGAGAGCTGATTGCTAGAGATTCCAAGCTCAGATATTTGGGTTAGGAGGGCCATGGTGAGAGGCAATGCTCCTGACAGGCTGTTTTCTGACAGTTCAAGGAAAGTAAGGTTGGTACAAAAGCCAAGCTCACTCGGGATACTGGAATTCAGACCTGCTTTCCGAAGATTTAGTTTCTGAAGCATTATAAGGTTTCCTATTGAAGATGGCATTGGCCCATGAAACAGATTCTCATGCAACTCAAGGACTCTGAGGTTGGACAAGAGGCCGATTTCAGCTGGTATTGTACCATTCAGCTTGTTTATTCCCAACCTCAGATCTTGAAGCTTAGTAAGATTCTTTATTTCTACTGGAACCAGTCCTTCAAATTCATTATTAGTTAGGTTCAAGAATTCAAGGTTCTTAAGACTAAGGAAGTGTTGCACAGGAATTGGACCTGTGATGAGATTGTCTGACAAGTCCAGAAAGATCAGCTTTGAGCATTCAAAGATGAAAGGTGGAATGTCTGGTCCCAGATAGTTGTAAGTGAGCTGAAGTTCTGTTAATGATGCCATGCCCCTGAAATGAACTGGGTCAGGATTCTGTAGGTAGTTTTCACCAAGATTGAGATTCCATACCTTTTGCAACTTGCTAAGCTGATAAGGAATTGGACCTGTGAGTGAATTGTTGATGAGGCTAAGCACCCGCAACTCCAAAAGATCTCCAATCTCTGAAGGGATAACATCTGTGAAATTGTTGTTTCCTAAATCAAGAGAAATGAGTTTCTTTAATGACCCAATTTGATTCGGAATCACACCAACAAGATTGTTGCGATTGAGATTGAGGGAAGTGAGATTGGGGACAGCAGAGAAGTTGAACTGGTCCAAAGTGCCACTGAGGCCTGAATTGGCAAGATTTATCTCTACAATGCTCCTGGCTTCATCACATTGAATTCCAGTCCAGTTACAAGGATTGCTGCCACTGCTGCCATTGGTGAGGGACCATGAAGTGAGCCCATGAGAATTTAAGCTGTTTTTCCATTTCAGCAAAGCCTCTGCTTCATTCTGTGCTGAGGTTTCCAGAAGAACGCAAGACAAGATGATAATGTAGAGCATACTCTTCAATGTTTCTCTCATGGCTGCAGCTGTAATGGTCTGCAAAGCTCCATTTGTTTTCATCTTATCCTTAATTTAAAACAAAAAGAGCCAGCACTGAAAGAAGTCTGTAGCCTTCTGCCTTCCTATCCCAGGAATAAATGGAAAGACATCTTCCTTTGAAGTAGTTGCTTGAGAAACAAAACCTGGTAAGTTAGTTGAGGAAGTTTCTCAAAAACATCGAAGATCTTCTGTAGCCGACTTACATCCGTTTTGATTTGACTTTCAAACTTTTAATTGCTGCGTAGACATTTGATTGGTGGACGCTTATGGTTTTGCTTTTAGGTGGGACCCACATGCTATTGGTTCCTCAAATGAAAGTTTTGTAGGATAATCTCCATTCTGTGAAATATTTCTTTGAGCAATTAATGGGCATTTCTAAAACTAAATTGTTGAAGCTTTCATGGATTTACATCACTGGGGAAGAGATCCAATGCATGGGGAATAGATATCAACAAGCTCTGCCATCTGATTGCAACTCAGCCATGGAAAACTATAAATGGGCTAAAAAAAATGTTCTTTGCTTGACCTGATCCAGGCCAGATCAACCTTAATGGGGTTTCAGATTATAATCCGATTGATACCAAATCCGAGCGGTTGGCATAGTAAAATGGATTCATGGAAACATTTGTAAATTTGTAAATATAGCCATCTCTGGGTACAGGGATACTATTCATGGGATGGGGTGGGTTGGATTGTCCACCCCATTTTATTCTTAGTTGGGTTGAGTCAGTTTTGGAATGAGGTGGCTTGTCCCGATGAAAGATTGACTAAAGCCTATTTTTAGTTGGGTTGGGTCAGTTTTGGATTGCCCACCCCATTTTATTTTGGTTGACTAAATGCCTCGTGGTCAAATGGTGGAGACAAATTCTTGGTTGTACGCATACAATGAAGACAAATTCTTGGCCATTTGAGTGGTTGTACGCAGACAATCATGGAGTTAGACCGCAAGGTTGCCTCCTTAATTGAAAGTAAAATAAAATCATTTTTCATCAACTTTCTAGTTTTTTCTTGTTTTCTATCAAACCAAACAAAGCCTTTGTTCTTTGTGACAAAGGGGTTCTTGCCAAACATGATATGACAAACGTTTGGAGGATAAGCTCATCTTATCTTATTTACAGAAAATGTTTAGGCCCGACCCTGAATTTGCTCCAACCATCGGACGATCTTGTGACCCGATCTGAAAAGAAAAAGTCCTGCATACTTGTAATACTATCATATATTATGATGTCCAAATGTGTAAATTTCAACAAATAAGTAGGATTATAGTCAAATTACAAGTTAGAGCATAACTGTCAATTATGATCAAGCCTTATTGGGTCAGACCTGATTGATAGTCCCAAATTTTTGGAACTGGTTCTTTTGGGTTGGGATCGGGTCTACCAGTATGACCTGATCTGGACCCGGCCCGACCCGCTGACAGTACTATCTGGTACTTGATTTTCTACGATTAGAGTTTATGAGCGTACGTATGATTTTACTGCATTTAGTTTGATGGTGGAGAAATGCTTTTTCTTAGTTTGTGTAGTATCCAAAACAAACCGGTTAAAAATTATCTCTAACTCTGAAACAGGTCAAACCTCGAAGCACCCTTATTTCACCTATTAGTGACCCGTCAATACGATACATATTGACCAGTACGTTATATATGTGAAATTTAGTCTTTGCATAGTCCCAACTCTCAAACAGTGGTACGCGTGGCAAGCTATGGGTTCTAGGTGTACATGAATCCTGCATCGCCGAGTCCCCAAACACTTTCCTTTTATAAGTAACTAGTGTAGAGCCAGTCTAGTCTATTCACGTCTGAAATTAAAAATCAAAACCCTAGGCTGTGTTTGGTTTGAAGGAAAAGGTAGCTCAAGGATTCCATCAATCCCAAGGCTTGATTTCTCTGATACATTTGGTCTTGTTGTCAAACTAGTGACAATTCATACTAATCTTGCTCTTGCCACTTCTTAAAGTTTCCCTATATGAAAATTAGACATTAATAATAAATTCTTAGATGGGCTTCTTGATGAGGACATTTATGTACCACAATCAAAGGTYTTGAGAACCCAAACTTTCCCCACCATGTTTGCAAATTGCATAAGGCTCTATGGGGTCTTCGTTAGGCACCAAGGGCTTGATACTCTCGTTTGACATCTACACTCCTTAATTTGGGTTTTCATAACTCTATAGCAGATCTATCTTTGTTCATTTATACAAAGGGGTTGACTTCATTATATATTTTGATATATGTGGATGATATTATTATCACTGGCACCTCCTCTGCTTTCATTGGCTCTCTCCTCTAGAGCCTCTCTGTAGTATTTCCTCTAAAATACTTGTGACCATTGCACTATTTTCTTGGAATTAAGGCTCGGTGTAGTTCTTTTGGTCTCCATTTATCTTAGCAACATTATATACTTGATTTACTTTAGCATACAAAATTGGATGGTGCTAACCTTACTCCTCTCCCAAGGTGGCTTATGCTCAAGTCAATAAAGCCTTTGGTGATCCTCTTCTTGATCCTTCTAAGTACAGGAGTGTAGTAGGTGCTCTACAGTATATTACCCTCACTGGACTTGACATATCTTTTCCTATTGATAAGGTGTGTCAGTTTCTTCACTCACCAATTGAGGAACATTGACCCACTATTAAATGCATACTATGTTATTTGAAGTGTACTATCAACTATGGATTGCATTTTTCTACCTCTTCTTCTTTAAAGTTGAATACTTTTACTAATGCTAACTAGGTTAGTTGTCTAGATGACAATTGTTCTATAAGTGGGTTTGCCATCTACTTGGGTGATAATCTCATTAGTTGGAGCTCTGAGAAGCAACACACCATTACACATTCTAGCATGGAATCCGAGTTCAGATCTCTTGCTAACTCAACTACAAAGATCCTATGGATCAAATCTCTACTTTCTAATTTCGGCTTTCCTTCTTCAACTCTTGTTGTTTGGCACTCACCCGATGTTTCATGCTCACACCAAGCATGTTGGAGTTGATTTTCATTTTCTAAGGGATCTCTGTCTCAGCAATCAGTTGTCCATTTGATTCATCTCTTCCCAAGACCAGGTTGCTGACATTTCTTACGAAGCCTCTTCCTACACCAAGATTTGAACTTCTTCTATCCAAGCTTCATGTCACACTGTTCAGCTTGAAGAGGCATATTAGAGAGATATATGAGTCTAACTAATGTATCAAGATAACTTAGACTCATTATTGTATTTTATCTAGGACCACATCTCCTTGTTCATCTTAAACTCTCTATATAGCTTAACAACTTATCCTGATAAGTCCTATGTAATCTAAAACACTTGCATACATTTATAAATACTAGAGGATTCTACATCTAGAAATACTAGAGGATTCGACATCTATAAATACTAGAGGATTTGGTGGCTTTCTCCATCATTGAATATTCATTATTTAAGAATATTTAAGAAGTTAGTTGGATGCAATTTCTACACTTATATTAGTTCAAATTGAAAAATTAGAAATTTCAGGAATTTGACCAAAGTTTCAAACTTTCAATACATATGTTTATTTAACATATGCTGATATATAATGTTTTTTATATGTTTTTATTTTCTATAATGACAGTATTGTAACTCAAAATTCTATTTTTTATTATTTYTTTTCTTCTAAAAATTAGCTAAATGATGTAAAAATATGTTTATATGTTTATATTATGTTCATCTATTCCATTAATTTATGTAGTTTTTTGTTTGAAATACATTAAAATTTTAGTGAGATGTAAACATTTCATCTAGAATTAAATTTTCTGGCAGGAATTTGGAGATTTCAATTTTGTTTCTTTTAGTGAAGTCAAAATCTCATGAAATTTTAGGAGAATAAGAACCTTGAAGATGATGACTACTAACTATGGTATCGTCAGGTTGTCATTTGTCATTCCCAAACAAGTTTATTACCCTTGATCCCAAACTCTTTTAACTTTTCATCCTAATTTTCCCAATCCATTAAATCCATTGTGACCCATTTGACCCAATTATGCATATTTATTGTTGGCATTATTTTTCAAATATGAAATTCAAATTCAATTACCTTAATTAGCACTTATAAACTCACCATAATTGGCCCTATTTAACACTATTCACCATAATTGATTCCATAACTACCCTTATTTGAGGTGCCACTTATAACACTAATTATCTCTATCTCACATTAATTCCATTTAAGTCACTAAAACAAGTTCTAAAGGGACTTGAACCCAAGTTGCTTAATTTAAACATATGTATTTTGACCATTAGACCACTCCATGATATAATCAAACTACCTCTAGATTCTACTTCATACTTTTGCCTATATAATCTTAACTATCCACTTGAGATTTTTTTTTTATTACTTTCATAAGATAATTTAATATTTCTACTGACATATCACCATTATTTATTAAACCTTTTACATGATTATAGTAGAAACATTAGTTTGTCAATCTAACTTTTCCTTGGGCATGGCATGCAGTCATATATTAGGAATATCTTCCATAAATTTAATATAGATATGTATAGGAGATATTCACAATGTGCGGCTGGATGCTGTATTGTCAGGATCAAGTACTGACACTAGAGTTCAGTGAAGCCCATATTCCTGGGGCCATTATAACTACTGAATTATTTATAGGTTTTATAAGAAATTTGAAATTCCAGAATAAAAAGAAAAAGCATCTAACCCTACACCTGTTGATTGAAGTGGAGTAACAGGGGGTGTGATCATTTCTGGTCTGACTTACAAATTAATTTCTAGGATTGGTTTAGGTTTTCTTTCTTTTTATTTTTCTTTTATATCCTGGTGGTCCTGGGCCAACAAGCGGGCTTCTTTCTTTTTAAGCGTGGATGAATAAATGATAAAAAAACTTAAAATCATCATCAATTCCACAAGACGTCAGTGCTTAACCAAAAATATAATACAACTTCATTTAACTGCATAAACTTTGAAAATGAGGATAATGGAGGCTGAGGTGTGACCATTAGGCTGTGTTTTGGTATCGTAGAAAATTAAATAAAGAAAAAAAAAACAATTTTGTAAATTAAATTCCATCACTTCCCAACTTTGATCCGCTTCTGCTATTGTGCCATACCAATCATAGCCTTATAGAAAGGAACCACGCACTCATGTCAACTTCAAACTCTTCGTTGCTTTTCCTCCCAAGTCATAAAGAGTTGGTTCATGCCTAGAGTACATCACTGCCTTTAGGGTGTTCAAGGTTCGGCTCTTCAGTTTTTCGACCAATATAAAATCTATGATACCCGAAAGATATGATATGAAAAAAGTTTTGATCAATCA